GTTCTATAGCGTTTTAAATACGTTTTTTAATCATAACACCCCTCCGTGGATAACACAAGAGCTTCAAAGACTTTTGAACCTGAAAACAAACACAAAAACTACAAACGGACAGATTCTTCGAAATATGTGGTTGCTCCATCTGATTTTAATGTTCTAACAGTCAATGCTGTTCTATGTACTTGATCGGGTGAAAACCCGAATTTTTAAATAATCCGAAGCAATTTATAACTACTATAAATGTCAAGCGAAACAACTCTGCGTTGCCTTCATTAGAACGATTAACCTCAACTGAGGCGTTTACTGACTCTGAAATTGCTGATTTATTTGCCAAGTTCTTCCAAGCTACCTATTGTGGGGATTCTTGTCTTAATTTAGAGTACCCTTACTGTTTAAACATGTCAAATTGTATTTTATTCCCGGTAATAACATAATATTTTCTTCTAAAGGAATTAAAGACCACAACACCAACATACTCTCCAGGGCCTGACGGGCTTCCGGGGTGCGTGCTTAATTTTTGTGCCTCAACTAGTTAGAAACCAATTCTTAAACTGTTTCAATTGTCTACCTCAAGATCAGTTTTTCCAACTATCTGGAAAAATTCTTTTATTATTCCATCACGTAAAATGTCGGATGTTCAAAATTATATATGTATTTCTAAATTTTCTGTAATACCTAAGGCATTTGAGCGCATTATTACTTCTCTTTTGCAACATTTGTGTTCCTCACAAATATCTCCTGATCAACATGGTTTTGTTAAGCGAAGGTCTACCACCACAATTCTACTTGAATTCACATCTAATATAGTTAAAGGATTTAATAATAATATGCAGACTGATGTTATATATACAGATATACAGCTTTTGATTCTGTTAACCATTCTCTTATTTTTTTTAAATTAGATCAGCTCGGGTTTTTAAAATAATCTTTTAACTTGGATTTCAAGTTATTTGAATGTAAGAACTCGGAGGGTTATTTTTAAAAACGCAGTTCCAATATGATTAACGTAACATCTGAAGTGCCTCAGGGTAGACATTTGGGCCCATTGCTATTTACTTTATTAATGGGGTTATGATACTACATTGTTGGTCCAATGCATTGCTCATTATTTGTTTTAACTATACGATATTACGTAAGTGCGATAAAGACAACCTATGACGATTCCAATGACCAATGAATGAAGAAAATGGTCAGAACCGGTACCCGATAGTAAAAAATATGAACCGGATTTTGGTATAAAAATGCCATTCGATGAAATATTACCGGACCGATACATCAATAAGTATTGATGGGAGTTGATGACAAAACGGAATGAAAAAGCGAGGCTTAAATATATACGGAATATTTTTGAACAGTTAAAGGAAACAACCTTTTATCGTTAAAGTTAGCGGGATAAACACAATATTATAAACAAAACAATAAAGTTTGAATTTAATGTTAAAATAGCAGTGTGAAGCAGTGTCAAGCAGTATCCATATAGTTGTCTCTGAATCCAATGACCAATGAATTCGTCGATGAATGAGGTGAAAAATGTATTGTCATACCCGTACCATGATGATGATCTTCCTAATGCTGCTGATGTTAAACTTTGTTTTTCTATAATAATTTGCAATCGGGTTTCGGTTTACAGTCTGATATTGATTGTTTTCAGAGATGGTGTCAATCTTAACTCTTAAAACTGAACTAAATTATTATTTACTTCCCTTGTCGTTCCTAATTTAAATACAAATTGATCGAATTGAGTCGGTACAAAAAAAAATGTATTCTTTTCGTCCTTCGCAGATTACCTTTGCTGAATTTACCTACTCTTGTAAATTGTAGAATCCATCTTGGAACTATTTTTAGAACAAACTTAACCGTCTTACTTTTAATGTGCCTTTTAGTCCAACCCGTAACTACCATACTCTTAACTTGACAAAATTTACCCAAATTTTGGCCTGCATGAACCCTTTCGTGTTCTTTGTAATAATTGTAATAATCTATATAATCAAAGTTGCATTTCAACATCTATCTCTGTCTTAAAAACTAGAGTTTTAACATATTTTCACCGTAACTAGTTTTAGTTTTTTTTATAAATTTTTCTATAAGAAGTTATTTGTGTTTTCTTTGCGAACTCGATAACTGCCCAGTATGCTTACAAAGCGCGCGCGTGACAAGCTCGTACTTAGGAGCGTTAGGTCACTTGTTTGTACTGTTTATAGTGCATCAACGTTCACCAATGTATAAACGGTATGTCAGTTTTTCCGTCTATGTCTATACCGTTTGCAAGCTCAGCTTCAAAGCTAGAGATTTCAAACTTTCGCAAATAATAATTTTAATCAAACGTTTGAAATAATAAATTAAACATTTCCGAACCTACAAAGCGTATAAATTCTTGATCAGCATCACCAGGAAAGTCGATCTAGTCATGTCCGTCTATCCGACGGTCCGTCTAATTCTACGCAAACTAGTTCATTAGCTTTAAAGCTACCTGCTTTAAACTTTTCCGTCTAATTTTTATTGCAGGTGGTAAATAAGTCGAAACAAACCTGATCGGACGACTATATCATATAGATGTCATAAGACATCATTTTTCAATTTTAGTAATCTCAATAATAAACAATGTCAAAATACAAAATAAAAATTTTCCCGACTATTTCTATGGGATTTTATCCGGCTCGTTCCGACTATAATTGAAAGACAACTTTAGGAAAAGGAAGGACGGATAGACGGACGGACGGTCGACTCTCGTTGTGATGCTGGTCAAGAATATACATATATACTTCTAGAGCTTGGAAATATCTTCTTCACTTTGTTACAAAGTTCCGACTAAAATTAAAACAGCCCGTTGTACATATACCAGCACTTGACATAAATAGAAGGATGGAAATATTACTATATACAGTGGCTCGCAGCTTATTTTGTCCAGCTGTATTTCAAAACTTTAAGTCGGTATTGCGGCTAAGCCAATGAATATAAAATATTTTAAATAAAAACAGTAGCATAATAAATAAACTAAAAAAAATCCTTTTTTTCTTAGAGTAATAAAAAATCTAACAAAAACAAAATGTACAGTCATTTTTCATGCCGCAGCTTATTTCGTGCAGTTCATTTACATATATTGAAAAAATTGTAATTTTAGCATCAAAAATACATAATTTTTTTTTGATAGTGACATTTTAATTACTTATAAATTTATATTTTGTGAGTTTCCGGAATTAATTTAAGCGATACAGGGGAATCACCGATATAGCACCACGAACAAGTATTGAGCAGCGAGAACTCGTCCTTAAACACTTTAAAAGTGGAAAAAGTCAGCGTGTCATTGCTGAAATGGTATCCGTCAGACCCAGTACCGTACAATACATCATCCAACGGTTTGTTCGAGAAAACAGGGTTGAAGATAAAGGCCGAAATACTCCAAATAAAATTTTCAGCGAACAAGAGCGTCGTATTGTTCGCAAAATTAAGGAAAGCCCAAAGCTATTGGCCTCTGAAATCGTTGCTCAGGTCGAAAAAGATGTGGGCCAAAAGTGTAGTGCTGATGCAGTGCGCCGTGTGTTGCATGATCACAACTTTAATGGCCGGGTTGCACGGAAAAAGCCATTTATGAGCAACAAAAATATTGCTGCTCGCCTCAAATTTACAAGGGACCATATGCTTTATCCGATTTCGATTTGGAATGACTTATTATTTGCAGGCGAGTCAAAATTTAACCTTTTTGGTTCAGATGGAAGACAATATGTTTGGCGGCGACCTAATACGGAGCTCAAAAACAAAAAGCTAAAAAAAAACTAAAAGCTACAGTCAAGCATAAAAAAGCCTGTACATTTCGTTTTTATTATATTTTGTTGTTATTTTTATGATTAAGGAGATCGTTTTTCGTTTATTAACAAGAAAGAAAGCAAACTTCGGCAAGCCGAAGTTCATATACCCTTGCAGCTATTGCAAGAATTGAACATTTTTGAAAATATTAAAAGTATGATTTACTTGCGTATACGTTTAAAAACATTGAAGCTATGATGATTTGCAGCTTAATTATTCGATAGTTATTTTATATATTATTATTATTTCAATGGGAGCTATATGATATAGTCGTCCGATTTTGATAAAATTTAAATCGTAGTTCTGAAATATTTAACCATTTCTAAATATCGAAGAACAAACAAAAATTAAATAAACAGCAGGTTATAATTTCTTTTAATTTATTTTTCGGATTGTTCCTATTGGAGCTATATGCTATAGTCGTCCGATTTTGATGAAATTTAAAACGTAAATCGGAAAAATTTAACCATTACTAAATGTCGAATTACTTAACAAAAAATAAAAAACAGCAAAGTTATAATATTTTTTCATTTATTTTTCCGATTGTTCCTATGGGAGCTATATGCTATAGTCGTCCGAACCGACTCCCTCCGAATTATATACTACCTGCAACAGAAAGACAGCTTATGGGAAAGTTTCATGCAGATAGCTTTAAAACTAAAAGACAAGTTTGCATAGAAACGGACGGACAGACGGACATGGCTAGATCGACTTACTAGTGATGCTGATCAAGAATATATATACTTTACAGGGACGGAAACATCTCCTTCACTGCGTTGCAAACCTCTGACTGAAATTATAATACCCTCTGCAAGGGTATAAATATGCTACTGTTTCTAGTTAAAATATTGCGTTTTCATTTTTAAATTATCTTTATTAGTTTCGCCGCAATACCGACATAAAGTTTTATTATTAAACTGCACGAAATAAGCTGCGAGCCACTGTATGTATTTACATTTTTTCAATGGCCATAAGCTCTACCTAAGCGCTGAACTTGTTACTTTTTCAAATAAGCTGTAGCCTATTTCTTGTGTTCATTTGGTTTTAAGTAAACAAAATTTCAAAAACTATTCAAATAAATAAATAATAATTTTAAACATTAAATTATAACACTGCATTTTGATTATTTAGAAAACTTGCCTAGTTTACTCATTAATGTCCGTTTGTGTTTATGTACTATGGCAATTATTGAAACTTACTTGAACCATAACAGCGATTCGAAGGCTATCTTTGGGAATAGAACATTTACATCCTTTACAAGACGCTCTCCCAGTTCTGGCATATTCCACCATGTACGGTAATTCAATATCCATAATAAAAAACTTTTTATTAAGTCAATATATTTGACAAGAGCGCGGTCCTATCGATGTTAACGAATAATTAAACTAAGTAATCGTTTCTTATTGGGGGTATTTTTCACTGCAGTACGATGTGTAGTTGACTTATAGCTTGATTCCATTGCCACAATTTTTAACATTTTGAATCTGTCTAGTTCACACATTTTTAATGAACGTTATACACCGACATGTTGGTGGTGAACCACTGGCGGTTTGCTTTGAATTTCCATTTTTAGTTTGTTGAGTTGAAAATGAAAAAATTTCAACGCCAAAGCTATTTATTTGGGATTAAACCACATGAACATAAATATAAAAGTCTAGTTGGTTTTGGCGACCTTTCCAAAGTATTGTTAGCCGGCTCGAGGTCAGGATGTTGAAAAAAAAACACAAAATTTTTTTAATTTTGGGTATTTGTCAATATATTTCGGTTGCTCTTCGGCAACTGTCTTCAGGACAACTATAAAAAATGTACAACGATTTTAATATTTTTAACAAACAGAAAACAATTAACATTTGACATATGTACATTTAATTTACACGTCTGCGTCCGGTGATGTGGAGTTGTTAACTTATTTTTCTTTCCCTAGTAAGAGTCTATGTATATAAATGAGCGCAATTGTCAGTGTCCGTTTTGTAGTTCATCCGTATGTCTGTAGGTGTTTTTATGATATGTAGCATTTCTATGGTGAATCCTTTGGCATAGTGTTGTTCTTGTGATAAAATACTAGTCTTTTCGAAGTTCGGTGAGTGATTACTCTTGGCACAGTGGGACATGAGTGCTGTTTTTTGCGCGTTCGTATGATGTCTAGCTTTGAAGTCCGATTTATGATGTGCTAGTCTAGTTTTTAGTTTAGATTTTGTTGTTCCTATTTATATCATGTTGCATATTTCGTTGTTGTTGCCGTTGCACGGTATTTTATATATTACGTATTTTTTGTCAATTTCATTTATTTTTGATTTTGTTCTGTTGTATATAGATTTTAATGTGTGGTCCTGCCTATGTGCGATACTTATGTTTTCTTTGTCGTAGCATTCCGATTTCGCTACACGTTCGGATAATGCCGGGACGTATGTAATTGACATATATTTTTTGTTTTTATTATTTTTAACGCTATTTTGTTTTGTTGTTTTGTGTTCCGATAATAATGTTTTTATTATGTGTTTTGGGAAATCATTGTCTGTCAACATTGATTTTATCTCCTGGGTCGTCTCCACGAAGGTAATCCGTGTCTGAAATTTTGAGCATTCTATGTATACAGCTTCTAGCTGTATTTATTATCATTTGTTTTGGGTGTTTGGAGTTGAAATTGATTATTTGTCCGGACGCAGTTGGTTTCTTCTACCATTTTAATTTTAATCGATTTCCACGTCTAATTATTACTGAGTCCAAATAAGGTAATTGGTCATTTTCTTCTAGTTCCATTGTAAATTTTATATTATTGGTGAAAGAGTTGAGCATGGTATGGTTTTAATGTCATCCTCTTAAATGATTGCGAACAGGTAATCTACGTATTTTGTCAGTAATCTTGGAGGTCGTCTTAATTTTTCTAACGTGTTGTCCAGAAGAGTTTCCATTACAATATCTGCAATGACCGTCGAGGCTAGCGATCCCATAGGCATTCCTTTTAATTGTGTGTAAAAATTGTTTTCAAATTTGAAATATCTGTTTTCTTGAATACAAAATTTTAATTTGTCCATAATTATTGTTTGCGGTACTTTACTGTGTTTTGGTATTATTGTCCATTTGTTTTTTAATTATATCCAGTGCTAGATCTGTCGGTATACTCGGAAATAATGAAATTACGTCAAATAAAATTAATCTTTCATCGTCGCCTATATATGTGTTGTTGATTTTGTCTTTGAATTCTCCTGAATTTTTATATGTTATATTTGGTGTCTATTGTTATGTTTTTTAATATGTCAATTAAGTATTTGCATAGTGCATAGGATGGTGATCCGATGGAGGAGCAGATTGGTCGTAGAGGGGTTCCTTCTTTAAGAATTTTGGGTAGTCCATATATTCGTGGTGGTAAAGCTGTGGTGGTTGTCAACTTATTTCTTTCGATCCTTGAGATAAGTTCCATTTTAAATAGTTTGTCCACTATTTCGTTATTTTTTGTTTGTAGTCTAGAAGTGGGGTCTTTCCTTAATGTCCTGTATGTGTTCATATCCTTTAATATGTTCTTCATTTTTTGGTTGTAGTCATCTTTGTTCATAGCTACCGTCTTGTTACCTTTGTCTGAGGTCAATATTAAAATGTCGTCATTTTCTTTAAGAAATCTCTTTGTTTGTCCCACTGTGTCTAGTATTGCACGATCAAATGCACTTTCTTTGTTTGATGTTTTGTGGTCTTTGATAAGTAAAGATAATTGGGTTCGCGCCTCTTGTTTCTCTGAGTCAATAAAAGACCCCTCAAAAAATACTGCAAAGTATTTTAATTCTGGATATATTGGAAACGTTTCGGTCGAGTCGGTCTAATAGCGTCTGCACACAGTCGCTTAAAAGAGTTGCATCGAAAAAGTTTAAGCGACTCCTTCACACAGGCAGCCGCTGATGCAAACTTAATACAATTTTGTAATTTGCGAATAGATTGTTTTCGGCAGCTCATAATTTATCTACCGTTGTTGACGAATTGGTGAGGGAGAACGTAGTCACGGCCCTTAAGGCACGGTAACCAAATTCAATAATCAGAATCAATTTAACGGCTCAGGCCGGAGTTTTATGACAGAGCTAGTGCTCTTTATTTCAAATCCAAATTAAAAACTAAAACTTAAGATTGAACAAAAGCTCATGCATAGCCGGATGCCCGTGGCAGAACGCTGACCTTGCACATTTTGCAGAAGTCATACGATTGCTGTCATCCAATGAAAGGGAGCCACGGCTAGGAATGGCACAATGTGCTGGCTCAGCTCTAGGACCAATAAAGTGGACCCAATTTAGGGTGGACATGCATGAGGGAGAAGTGTAATAATAATAATAATAATAAAAAGTGATTAATACTAGAGAATGATAAACATGATAAATGATTAATATTAATAGAGTAATAAGAACTGGCCTGCTCAGCCTAAGCTGGGAGTTGGTTGTTAACTACTCCCCCCTTAAATTTGACAGCTAATTCGTCTTGTTGGAGCAGGACTAAGCCGCATAGTGTGAGGCTGACGGCAACTCCTGCGGCGAACCAAATCCTCGGGGAACCTCCATCCGACACGTCTTCCCGGAGCTCCTGCATTAGACGCAGGTTATACTCATTCATCTGCTGTAGCAATGGCAGACTCAGTATGTGATCGTGTCCTGTGATGTTAATTAAGGGGGAGGCCGCAATTCCCGGGCTCATATTCACTGAGTGATTGAGGTTCAAATATACGGAGTCGTTGATCACCGCCTTTCTCTCAAAGGTGATAAGGTGGGTCCCAACGATGGTTACTGTGGGACCGTCATCGATGGTGATCCTCGTCAGTTTCTCATTAACGATAATTACCCCGTCGTCCACAATTGTAAGGGGTTACAGATTGATGGGCCGAGTCCGGCATGTAGCCGCCCCACCTGCATGTAATTGCGTGGCGCAGGAGTCGTGGGGCGCTTTTTTGCAAAATGTGGCCAAGTTGGTGGATGTGCAATCGGAGGCTGCCAGGATTCAATCACTACATTCCGCCACGATGTTGTCTTCTATTTGTAGCATTGTGTGGTAGTGCGTGACAGGGAAGAGCAGGACTTTTTTACAAATACGCTTAACTCTAGGATACTGGACAATAACGTGGACAAGAACATTAGTTTGAAGAATTTTAATCCTAGATACATCCATAAGGTTGACTATTGGGACCTCTGTGAGCTGTTCGTCAAAAATAGCCTTTAAGTCATTGTGATTAAAAATAGTAGGATTGATGATATTATTTTTAGCAAGAGTGATAGTGATCATACAATTTTGGATTTCTGACATTAACATTCTAGGCGAGGAGTGTTTCATACAAATGGCCTGAGTCAACAAGCCCGTCCTTCTTCTCCCTGAGGATCTTGTTTACTGTATCTGTGAGTAGGTTGATGTGTTTCTGTGTCTTTGCGTTAATTATAACCTGTCTATTATTAGCCTCCATAAGCGAAGCTTGATTGGTGTTGATTCTACTTAAATCGTCCGCGTCGGGTGTACCCGCCACGACCTTAAGGACTGAGCCCAAAAAATCAAGGCTCCTGGCCATTCTATGGTGTATCTTAAGTTCCTCCAATAGGTTTTGCGCATGCTCAACGTCCACTTCCAGCAGCTTCCTCATATGGGACTGTGGGAACAGTTCCAGCACTCCGACTGTGGAGTCGATTATGCTGGCAAACTCGGACAGATTTGTCGAGTGCCTGACCAGGCCGTACTGTTCCCATATTAAGACATTGCCATCTAGCACCGGAATGTATTTAGCGTGGGAGAAATCAGTGATTCTCGCGCTCGCGGTGGACAGCAGTATGACGGATATAATGGCGAGCCTGTGGAATTTAGCAAAGATTGGGTTTTAATATAGGGGCGAATGTGGCGAGTGAAGTGCCTACCTAATGTTGTCCTTATGGACCACCCTCCCCTTAATGAGAACAGATGTTCAGATCAGATCTGCTTCTACACGCTCTTCTGAATAAAGCGGAGTCAATTTATTCCCTAATCTTTTGTTGTTGTGAAGGTGTACTTTTTCACCGACTTCGAAGACTCTGTTTTGCCTAGAAGGATTAACCCTGTCTAGGTTGGATCGTTGTGATTTGTCAATCTTGGTTTTAATTGCCAGCTTCATCTCATCGCTGCTGGCGTGGATGACCTCTACTGGCTTAGACTCTGTGACTGAATGTAGCGACTTGTTGTATTCTATAGTAGACCTCAATATTAGTTCCACAGTATCCTCAATTTTTTTATCAATTTTGAGGCATCTGGCAATTTCCGCCAGGGTACTGTGAAATCTCTCAACTTGGCTATTGGAGCTACTGTGTAGCGGTGGCGCGTTGACAACGTCGATGCTGTATTGGTTTTTCAGCAATGATGTGACTGTCTCCGAATTAAAGGAGGCCTCATTGTCACAGTATAT